CTTATCCCTTCAAGATGAAAGACTTCCTCACTTGATTTCAAAGTGCATTTAAACTTACAGTAATCACAATGGAGTACAAAAATAAATCTTCACGTATATGTTGAACTGATTTTTTACAAAGACATCAAAAAATTCTATAGGTTTGCCAGGGATCTAGTTTAGCGGTGTTGCTGCCTGCCTCACAAGTGCAAGGTCCTGATTTCGATCCCAGATACAAAAAAAAAAAAAAAAAAAAAAAAAAAAAAAAAAAATCTACAGGTTAGAGAAAGCCTTTTTCCAAAAAAAATGCTTAGAAATCTAGCTATCTATATAGAAGGCATCCTCAATTTCTATCTCACATCATCTTTAAATAATAATTTCAATGGGTCACAGACATAACTGAAAGTTAAAACTATAACTTTTCTTTGAAGGGAAGACTGGTACGTATCTTCACAACTTGGGCAGGCAACATTTTGGGACACAAAGTGGTCACCACAATATGAGATGTGGTAAATTGTGCATATTGAAGAAAATGAAACATGTTCTCACTAAACACATTATCAAGAAAATAGTGAAGCCATAAACTGAAAGGGAAATATTTACAGCATATACATCAAAGGATAAATATTCTGGATTATATATGACAAATGATTTATATCCAGAAGGTTTAGGAACATTTGAGACCCAAAAGTAAAAAGATGAACTCATTTAAACATGGGGAAAATACTTTAACAGAAACTTCACCCTACAAGATATGTAGAAAATGAGGATTAACCAGCCCATGAAAAGGTGTCCAGCATCATTTTAGTATATGTGCTGCTGAAGCCAGCCTTGTTCAGCATCATTAATAATTAAGAAATTTGAAGCAAGAGGTTCCATTTTATACTCATTTTGTTAGCTAAACTTAAAAAAGCAATTGAAAGCACATGTTCCTGAGGATTTAGGGCACCCTAAATTCTCACAGAATGCTCCTGGGATCCTGAAGTGGTGCAGGCAATTTTACAGGTGGTTTGGCAACTCTTTAAGGAGTTGAGCCTGAGGAGTGATCTCTTGATCACCCAACAGTGCCCACCCCTCCATCCAAAAGAAATGAATTCATTTTCCCTCTACAAAGAAAAAGAATTGTAAAAGAGTATTTGTGGTAGTTACGTTCATAATCTGGAAACAGTCCCAGTCCCCGTGTCTGTTGCTGCAAGAGAATGAACTTTCTGAATTGCTCCCCAGTGTCTAGCAGATTTCGTTTCCTCCTCTTCACCATCACCTCCTGGTATTCCTATCTGCCTAGCATTCCACCTCTCCTTTCATTCTTATCCATAAACACAATCCAGTTATTAAGCACTGGGAAGTTGCACATCATGTATAAATCTGAAGCAACTTAAGTTGAGAGAAAGAAGATTTACTTAAACCAGTATATCTTGTGTAATTCACTTACATTAACTTTTTAAAAACACGCTAATCTATTTATTTTTCCCCATTCCCCTGTCTGCCCTTCACCCCTCCCTACTTACAAAGACTTCGTTTCCATTTTCTCATTTTCTCATATTAATTCCATTCCCCTCTTTCCTTTCCCCTACCCCTCCTACTTCCCCTTTCCCTTTGAGCCTTTTCTTCCTATTTCACATAAAAGCATGCTAATTTAAACTGGTAGAAATCAAGCCAGAACTTACAGATAGGTGGAATTCACAGAAAGTGAGTGTAAAAGAAAGTCTCTTGGGTGATGGAAACATTCTATATCTTGATCAATGTGGTAGTCACATAGTCACATGGTCTTGACACTTGTCAAAGCTTGATGAAAACAACTTTTATACATCAAAAATGATATTCTGAAAATAATAATTACTTTGACTAGAATCACACTTGTAATGCATTAAAATATCTGTTCTGGGTCAGAAATCTGTTTCTACCTACACCGTATTGATGTGTGTATGTGTGTGTGTGTGTGTGTGTGTGTGTGTGTGTGTATGCGTGTGTATGCCAATTGTTTCCCAGTGTGCTTTAGCATAATTACTCTTTTCAAGTAAAATCTTATTTAACAGTTTGGTAATATACAGTGTTGGAGAAGAAAATATATACTCATGTAATCTGCATGTATATTTTCTGTATGTATATGTGAGAAGTGTAAATTGGTCTGAAACTTTGAGGAGATATCTGCAATATTTATCAAGGATGAATGTTAGAACTGTATTTCACAGAATAATTACAATTAAACTAATGATAATGTGAATAATTATAATAAAAAACTAGCTTATTCACTGTATATTCCTCATAGTAGAAAAAAGACCAGAAGTAACTGAAATGTTTATTAAATGGGAGATTAGTAAGTAAATTATTTAACATCAAAACAACATAAACTAAGAAGTTGTTCAAAGCAACTTATGGATCTATAATGATGTACAGAAAACTTTGAGGCTTCGTATCAACTTTCCCATTGCTGGGATAAAATACCTGAGCCTCCACGCCCCACATAATTTCAGGGAGGGGAGGTTTAGTTTGACTCCTGATTTGAATGGTTTCAGGTCTTGGTTGTATCTCTCCAAGGCAAAAGCATCGTGACAGCAGGGCCTGGTGGAGCAAAACTTCACCTCATGGTAGTTGGGAAGCAGAACAGAAGGACAGCATCAGAAAGGAAGAGCTCAGGGAGCAGATGTAGGCCCGGTCACACCTTCATGATCCAACCACACACACCCAAAAGTGAGCCTTACTAATCCCCTTTCAATCAGACTAGGAGTGGACAATCCTTTAACGGCCACAGACTTTTTAAGTGAAAAAGTAGAGGGCCTAGCAAAGGGTATAACATAATCTGTTCAGCTGAAAATATAAGCAAAGACACGAATGTATGTGCTTTTAAGTGCATAGAACACTTCCAAAAGATGCAGAAATTATTAAGGTGAAAGAACTGTTTCTTGAATGGGAAGCCGGCATGTTTTCCATTGCATGACTTTTAAGCTGTCAGTGTGTAACATAATAAGCATAGTTTTCTATTGTATCTATAAAGAATAATGAGGAACCTAAGGCCAACTAATACACAATGACTTCGCTGGGAGCGAGAGGGTTTGGTGAAGTGTGCAGGGGCCGTTATATCAAAAGGATCGGTAACATTATTCGTCATGACTCTTTTAAAAGTAAATATGAAAGAATGTTAAAAGCAGGTTACTGTAAATGAGAATAGGAGTGATTTGTTTTTATTTTGGGTTTTTGTCTTGTTTTGTTTGTTTTGGTACCAGGAATCAAACTCAGGACCTTGCGCTTGCCCGGCAGGCACAGCCCCACTGAGCTAAATCCCCAGCCTGAGTGATTGGTTTTAATATTTTATTATGAACAGCTTTTTCTTTAAAGTCAGAAAAAACAAACAAAAGTAAATAGAGAAAAAGAATGGATGACATACAAGTGAAATGAAAGAAAGTGAGTGAGGACAGCAAAAGGAGAGAAGAGGGGAGTAGTGATCTTACGTGGACCTCCAAAAACACAGAGACAAAGCCACTTGTGTCCAAGCTGAGTGGATCCTTAGTTCCCCAGATGTTGTGTCTGGTTTATCACTGCTGCAGCAGACTTCTGAGCCTGCAGATCTTATTATTTATTAATTGGTCATTCTAATAATTATAGCACTGGTCAACATCCATTGATATTCAAAGTGGTTTGTGTGCACGTTTGGGTTTTAAAAAGCCATATATAGAATGTTTACATTCTGTATTTAATTTTTTTTGTTTGAAAAATTTAAAAAAATACAGGATAAACATGCACTTGATACTAGGATCCAAGGTAGAGGGATTATATTTTGGCATAATAAAAATTATAAAACCCAAACCATAGCATCTAGGAGAAACTCCCACAGTTGCAAAAATGGCTTCCTTTAGTCGTGAGGGATACAGAAGTGAATATTTATCAGTCTTGGGTAGTTTATGGGAGAAACTATAGCTAGCTGAATTTTAAAACTATAATTTCCCATAATTGTAAGGAAATAAAAACAAATTATCTCAACTATGTGAGCTAACTCCTGCCTTGATTGATCCTTAACTGAATAATCCTACATTTCCATTATTTTTTAAAAACAAAAAGAACATTCTTCCATAGCCAATTTATATTCAAGTCTGAGAAACTTCCCTAGAAATAAATCATCACACAGAAACACGGATTTAGTTTGACAGCATCTCTCAAGATAAACACCTGCACCACAATGGGAGGATAATTCCACATAAAGCAGCCAAGGGTGTCAGCTAGATCATCGTTTGACCTAGCTCCTTGGGTTCCAGCTTGAGCTGTAGGCCAAAGAGGCTGCCCTAACAGTGTAAGTAGAACTTCTAAAATGTCTGACCCCGGGAAAAGGAAAAGTACTAACTTTCGGCATACGCGGTTTTGTGGCAAGAAGTGAGGGAACTCATAAAATCTAGATTCACAGAAGTGTATCCCAAACGGCTGACAGCGTCTGAACCTCGGTTGCCAACAGCGTGGAGACAACGTCGGCCAGCGCTGGAGACTAGCATTGACCTGACGGTGAAATCCCGACTGTGAACGTGACAGCATGGAGAGACGCCTAGCGGTCGTGAAGCACCCTTCTGGGTGTGTTTACGCGGGCCACGGAAGCATCATTTTGGGGACCACGTGTGGCCTCTGGCCTCTTCCTCTGTGGCACTGTTCCCTGTGTTCTCCTTCCCAGCTGCCGTGAGGGGAGCAGTTTGCTCTACCACCCCATTCCACCACGCGACTGCTACCTTGGAACCAGCCAACCATGCCCTCACACCTCTGAAGCCATAGCCAAACAAACCGCTCTCCATTCAAGTTGCCAGTATTGCTATTTTGTTCCACAGGTGGGAAAGAGAAACCACAGAGCTAGCATCACCTTTGATGGGCTCTGGTGAGAATAGTGACTTTGTTGCATCAGTGCAAACAAACAATTTCCCACGATTTCTTCTTATTCCCCAATTAAAATTCAATGCCCTGCATTTTATTTGTAAGGCAATTTCAGTAGAATTATAAAGTAATTATTATATAAAATAAAATAATACAGTTTTTTTTCCTGTGAGGCTACTGAAAATGCATGCGCTGCAAGACCCACAGAGCCCTGAATATGAAGTGAGAAGCAATAGAATTCACGTTCGAATATGAAAGGTAAGATTTTTATAGAGTAGGCATGTACATAGTAAAGGAAAGAAGTGAAGATATTCATCTAAAGTATACAGTTATATTTTGGCTAAAATAATTCCAGACCACGTTATATGAATGCCGTTAAACTCTAATCTTCAAGGTCAATATTGAAATGATCACTTAATACATACAGCACATTTATATACACAGGGAAGCCCTATCTATATTATTATAATCGGAAAGCAGTTTTATAGAACTATTGGCATTTCCTTTGAAGCAGAAAGAATCCGTACAACCTTACTGGAATATTTAAACTGTGAAAGAGAACTCATTTAAGAAATTCAGAAGTTAAAAATGAAGAATCTTACAGCTGGTATCCTAGATATTTTCAGTTGATTTTCTAGGCTCCTGTTCCATCGTGGTCATTTCGTATTAGTCGATTCTGTGGTGTCAGTGCGCACAACTGGACAAATGGGTCCAAAGCCAGGTTTTGTGTAACCCAGGGCTCAGGAAACTAAAGTGCTCATGGGTGGGTATGACTGTTGGTCATACTTTGAAAGAGCGATCAATCAAAAGAAGCAGACGTGGATTTTTGTCAATATCAGTGATTTTATACAAAGTCAGCTCAAACAGTCTTTAATCACTTGGGCTCTAACACGGTTGAGTAGCTTTTGTCCTTTTGAATTCTTAGGCCATGTCCTTTTAATAATTTTTATTTTTATGAGCACATGTTTGCAGTACATAAAGATTACATCAAGCATGGGGAGTTGTTCCACATATACAACACATCCCCTCCTTGTCCTGCCCCCATCTCTGATGCTGTTACCGTCAAAACCAGGCATGGCTTATTACTCACATGGAAATGTTTATGTAATAAACTTAGGACTTATTTCATTGCATAACGGTGCACACACATCTGTGACTTCTCTTAATAAATGCGTATTTTGTGTTTCAAAGGCCATTTTAATGGTTCAGAATGGCATAAAAGTCCTCCAAAGAAATTCTCATATAGTATTGTGTATGGGTCAGTGACAAGAGTGTTCATATTTAAAATCAGTGCACTAATTTCTTGGCAACAGCAACCATCTTCTGCCGTCCATGGTGCTGAACTTTAATCTCCTCGGCCACTCTGTGAATGTTGTGTTGTTGGAAGAATATCTTGTCCCTTGCTTTTCCCCCGAGTAAATAAGATACCACAAGGGTATTAGTTGCACTTATCTGTGACATCAGCTATCAGACTCACCAACAGACTGTGACTGTGAAGCAAGAGATGGGCCTTTAGGAAAAAAAAAAAACATTAAAAGCCTGTCAAAGATCCATTAGCTACTGACTCCTGCGGGAAAGTTGCCTTCTTAGCATCCGCTCCCTGACATTGATTAGGAGCCTGGGATCTGAAGGCAGCTCACTCTTCGTTAGCCCCAAAATTACAGCTCAGAAAGATATGCAGCATCTGGCTGAATCCTGCTGTCAGAAATTCTTTTATAGCCAGGCCAGAAAGAGAGATTTTGTGTATCTTACTTCTGCGGCCAACATACTGTTGATTTCTAATGTGGTGCAAAGATCTGATTAGTCAATGAACATATTTTGTTGATAAAAGGTCCTGAGAACAATTAAAATGCAAACTACTTTGTTTTGGAGACCACTGAAACTATCTAAAAGACACATCTGGCATCCTAAATGTTTCAGCTCGCATCACACTCTGTATCTCCCAGTTTTTGGCCATCCCAGTTCATGATTATGCCCACTAAAAAAAAAAACAAAAGACTAATTAGGTCACTTGTAGCTTGGCTTCAGTGCCAGGTCCCAGCTCCCAGCTGGAAGAGAAGGCACTTAGGGGAGCAATCTCCATGTCTAACGCTGCTTCCTGGCATTGGGGATGATTGACATTTCAAGAACTGAACAAGCTGAACATTGAATGCAATGCACTGAGGCAGAGCGGACACTAGGAAATGAACACATTTGTTCTACAAATATTTGCCAGGCATATGCTGTGTGCCAGCCATTGTGCTGGGTGCTGAGTAGAGAAAGACTGGAATGAAATAGCCTGTACTCAGAGTTACCACAGCCTATGGATTCCGACAAGCACGTGATTTACAATATCATGTGATGCAGCCGACAACTGAGGCAAAAGCTGGAGGGCCTTCCTGGAATACAAAGCAGGAGCATGAAATGAGTTTTAAAGGAAGAAGGAATAAAGTTTTGAAGAGGAGCATACATTATTGGGCGGGTAGGGAGTGGGTAGGAAAGGACATCACAGGTAAAGGCGTAAGGCAGTGGAAAGCACGGCCTTGTCAAGGCACTAAAGTTTTTCAGAAATAGGACATATGCTCATCACTACATCCCTCGATGCTGTGTTATTTACCTGCTCTGAACTTTTTCAGCGTCCTTGAAGTATTCTTGTGTTTCCAGTTGCCCAGGCCTTTGTTCAGATTCTTCGACACTCCAAACTTTGCTGGCTCAGTCTTAACCAATGTGACTCTGCCACGATTGGACCGATTCTGTCCTTTCTTTCAGTTTAAATATTACCTCTTCAAAGAGATAAGTCATCACCATCATGAAAACCTACAGCATCCCAGTATTAATAGATATACAAGTCTATAATCACTTTTTTTTTACATTTATTTGTTGACAACTCACTGAAATTCAGTATCTCTAGTGTAAAATAATTTCCCACTGTTGTTTGTATAATATGAAGGTTACCTCTTCAGTGCCTGGATCAGTGCCTGGAATATAGTAGATGCTCAATAAATTTGTGTTTAACAAATGGAGTAACTCTTCCCTCTTCTACTCTCTAAATCACAAGAGAGCAGGGAAAATACATCACATTTACCTTGCGTTCTCAAGGTTAGGTCAGTTCTTGATACAAAGTATATACGCTTGAAAGAGACGCCCATACCTGAATGGATGAAGGCAAAGTGCACAACTTTGAAAGACTGGATTGATGACCTATGTCAACAGTCACAGCCTGGAGGGCCCTTAGGCCTCATTAAGGAATTTAAACTTTGAGGGGAGTGTGAACAAAGGAGCAGTTTTAAAATTTAAAGTGGTATATTTATGTAAAAGTTGCCCAGCTGAAGTGTTACAATGAATCAAATGGTTTAAAAATATAGACAAGGCAGAGAATGTATCCAGAGAAACAACCCACATCGTTAAATCCACGTACTGGGGATTAAACACAATGACGTAAGAGACATACTGCTGCCCAGAAACATTTGCACACAGGCTCTTTATCTTTATCTGGCCTCCCATAGCTTGTAATGTTGCTTTGACACTTGCCCTGTTCTCCTATCCTTTGATGTTAAAAGAACATTGTGAAGATAAAGCCAATTTATCTTAATACTGTAGGAATATATTATGAAGGGATGGCTTTGTTTTCCTCAATATTATATGAATTTATCAATATTTACCCTTCATTTTGCAGACTGACGTTTTATTTGAAAACTTACTAAGTCAGAATGCTACAGCATCTTACGAAACATGTTTATTAGAGTCTATAACTATCTCTGATACCATCCTGCTCTTCCCATATAATGAGGCCATGCTTACTTAACACTGGGGAATATTAACTTGGAAAGAAGTATAAATATACTGACTTCCAATAATATATCTTGGCTAATTTGCTTTCTCTCATCACTTGCTTTCACCACAGCTTAGGGGTATTTAAATAAATCTGGAATCTGTTTTAATGTTTCCAGTTAGAGACAATTTAAGGTTTATGAAGTCTGATTTAGAGGACATTTCTGTTGCACAGAAATATGTTTAACATTATATGCATTTCATCATTAAATGTAAGGAAAAAAGATAGATTCCCTGAAAGTTTATCAATTTTTCAAGATCTATATGTGATGAAGAGAAAAGTATAAAAGCTGTCACTTATAATTTCTCTTCAGGGGACAACACATACACCACTAACTGCTGTTACTTTATTAAAACTGCACACCCACTCAGCAATAGGGCTTGTATTTGAAGTAGTACTTCTGTTTAGACTTAGAATTAGTCTAAAAGCAGGGTGGTTTCTCTTCATCCTCTTGCCTTTTGTTTCCCAGATTTTGCCAGATGAAGAGTAAAGGCCTCTCAAAGCTATCTTTATTCAGAGAAGTTCTTTTTGCACTGTAGTTCTAGAGTTAAATGTATGAGCATCTTACATGAGTGATACCTGTAAAGCCGCATAGAGCCATGTGTTTGTAAATCTCGTTGTATCACAAGGACATAGAAATCCTTGAATGTGATTGAAAAGCAACAAAAAAAAAAATCAAAGACTAAAATGCCTAAATAAATACTGAGAAAAAATGATGTAGGATATGACTAATAACAAAAAGTAAAATTTAATTAATAAGGTGAAATAGGAAGAAAAGGGCTAAAGGTGTAGGAAAAGTGGGAAGGGTAGGGGAAAGGGAATAAGGGAAAAGAAAAAAATATGATAAAATAAAAAAATGGAAATAAAGTGTTTGTAAATGGGGAGGGGAGGGGGTGAAGGGAGGGCAGGGACAAGGGGAAAAAATGAGAACCAAGACTTGTCACATAAAGGTACAAGATCCCAATGATGAATGTAACTGTACTGTATACCTAGAATGTGCTAATAAACTCAATAAAAAGAAAAAAAGTAAAATTTAATATGATCAAAATAAAATAGGATAAAATTAAAAACATGTTTAAAATATAATGTTTTAATAGCTATTATTGACAGAAATCTGGTAACAAAAGCTACTTATTAGTTTATTTATTTGTGCTTACAATATTGATAAACTTAAAATTTGGTTTTCTTAAGCTACAAAAAGACATGATAATTTAAAATATTATGAATGTACTTTTGATATATTACATGCTTATTAGAATATTCTAATTCCAAAAGAATTTGTTTTCCTTAGTGCTTCTTTTATTTATAAATCACTGACTTTGCTTGTTAAAATAAATGTTACTGATAGAAATCTTTGTGAGATGGCCGAGTACTCCCTAAAAAATAAAACCTGGAACTTTCTTTATAGTAGTTTTAGCAAAATGCACGCACAGGAAAGA